TGGTAAAAACCTCTACCATAATAAATAAATTATCGAGTGGCTTTCAGTGTTATTTAAAATAACATTGAAAGCCACTCAACTAAGTGGAAATAATATGCCGTAAAGAATACAGAGAATAATTTTGTTTACATATTTATGAAAACAAAATAACATAAATTATAAAATAACATGAAATACATAAAAGTAAATTTACTTTTCTGAGAATGTTTAGGCCAGCAGAGAAGGCCTTGCTGGCCCTCAGGGTCCGCCACTGCTGACACTAATATAATAAGCCAGGACCAACAGGACCAACCTGACGGAAGATTGCATGCTTCTGATATTGAGGGTAAATGCTATATAAACATAAATAAATGTTGTCTCTGAAAATACTCAAATGTTGTCTCTGATGTAATCCTACATTGTACTCTGATGTAACCCTGCATGAAAAGCTAATAAAGGCCTCCTCATCCTCAAAACAAGATCCACCTCCCAGCTTCAGCCATTGCCCAATGGCTCCTGTCTCACTTTTCGGACAGTGATGCAACATGACAGTCTAAATCCGTAATGTAGGAAACTAAACGTCGCCTAATGTGCCAAAACTGCGGTTGTTCTGCCCACAAAAAAAGTTTCGGGGGCATTTCATCAAGGTTATAAAAAAAGGGGAGTTATAACATTTCTTGAATTAAAACGTCATAATTCATGTTGGGGTTTTTTTTAATTATTTTTTTTTTATGTAAAGTGTAATTGTGTTTAAAATCTCCATCTAATAATCGCAGTGCATTGTGGGTAGCAGACGTTGTGTTTCGTCAGACGAGCCGCCGCAGAAAGCCTGACTGTGGTCGATCTAACTGGTCCTCCTGTATTTTTTTCCTTTTTCTATACACATTTGAAAGCAATGGCTTTTCATTCCACATTTTCATCAAGCTGATATCACAATTGTTCTGTATGTTCCCAAGACGACCGAAATAAAGGAGCAAGTCACTCGTTTCCTGGCTCATGAAGAGTTTGGCTTGCTGTTTTCTCTTCATAGAGGCACTCACTACAAAGCTGATGTCACTTCATGAGAGAAACGCGCCATCCATAAAATACATCACATGACATGTCTTGCAACATTACATACTGCCAAACTTTGAAAGATGTGCAGGACTCTCGCAGGCAAACACTGACGCATTTATCGCCTAAACGCCTGTGTACCGAACCTTAGTTTCAGTAACTCCATGATTGACTGCTGCAGATAAGACTGGCCATCAAACAAAAATGGCATCAATGTTTCTTTATATTTTTAATGTCTTAGTGATAAGCAACTGCATCCATCCATCCAGTTTCTGATCCGCTTTATCCCCACAAGGGTCGCTGGGCGTGCTGGAGCCTATCCCAGCTGTCTTCAGGCAGTAGGCAGGGGACACCCTGAACCGGTTGCCAGCCAATCGCAGGGCACAAAAAGATGAACAACCACCCACGCTCACACTCAAACCTAGGGACAATTTAGAGTGTTCAATCAGCCTGCCAAGCATGTTTTTGGAATGCGGGAGGAAGAGTAGGAGTACCCGGAGAAAATACACACAGGAACGTGCAAACTCCACACAGGAAGGCCGGAGCTGGAATCAAACCCGGTACCTCTGCACTGTGAGGTTGACACGCTAACCACTGGATCACCAGGTTGCCAGGTGAAAAGGTCAACATGTGATATTTCAGAGGGGTTTTATTTTGAAATCTACGCTGCTCTAGTATGTCCTAGCCCTGGTCTGGTTGAGGCATAACTCAAATTAATTTTTGAATGATTTTCTTTTAAATCAGGTGGAAAGGTCACCATGTCAAATATCAGAGGCCTTTTATTTTAAAATGGAACATCAGATCTGAATATAGTGACTCTGGTTGGATATCTGGGGATCCCTAGTATGTCCTTCACCTGGTCTGGTTAAGGGACAACAAAAATTCATTTTTTAATGATTTTTTTTTTTAAATCAGGCGAAAAGGTCAAAATGTCAGATTTCAGAGACCTTTTATTTTGAAATGGAACATCAGATCTGAATGACAGTACTGTGGTTGGATACCTGGGGTCCCCTAGTGTGTCGAAAACCTGATGTGGTTGTGGGATAAACAAGGTTCATGTTGAAATGATTTTTTTTTTTAAATATCAGGTGAAATTGATGTAGAATTACCATTGACTTTATTTTCTATCTCAACTTCAGAACTCTTCTTGTCGCTGTTCTGAGAGTTTCTCCCTGAGTGAACTTCTCGTTCCCCGACAGCCAAGAAAGTATTTTAAAAATATTTTTAAAATCCAAACCACTGACGTGAAAGCCATGAGTTTTTATTTTGAAGGTGGCCAACGGCGCTTGCTGGCCGCACAAAACCGTCATGCAGAATATTAACAATCCCTGTGGCGGCTGGCTTGACCGCAGTCCGTTCGTGACATTGCAAGCTTCTATTTTATGGCGTGAACGTGCCCCCCGCCTCACACAGGTAGGATGTCGGAAATAGCAACAGTGCTATTGTGGCGATCTCAGAGTATTCAGCCATAACTTTGATCCAGTTGTCTCGAACGTACTTTTAAGGCCGCCGTGATTTGCGATCTCCAGCAGTTTTTTTTTACTCATTTTGCAAGCTTCTGCGTTTTGTTTTGAAGTAATTAATTGGTCACGTGACGGAGAAGCATGAATGACGTGTGTCAAGCGCGACACAGACGGATGTAACGGAGAATCCGGTAGTTTTTCAAAATAAAACATCTTTCGGATTCTGAACTAAATAAAACGGAACTAAGCCAAGTTCTTTCTGTGCGGCCCGGTACCAAATGCCCGGCGGACCGGTACCGGTCCGCGGACCGGTGGTTGGGGACCCCTGCCCTAGTGGGTCGAAAACCTGATGTGGTTGTGGGATAAACAAGGTTCATGTTGAAATGATTTTTTTTTTAAATATCAGGTGAAATTGATGTAGAATTACCATTAACTTTATTTTCTATCTCAACTTCAGAACTCTTCTTGTCGCTGTTCTGAGAGTTTCTCCCTGAGTGAACTTCTCGTTCCCCGACAGCCAAGAAAGTATTTTAAAAATATTTTTAAAATCCAAACCACTGACGTGAAAGCCATGAGTTTTTATTTTGAAGGTGGCCAACGGCGCTTGCTGGCCGCACAAAACCGTCATGCAGAATATTAACAATCCCTGTGGCGGCTGGCTTGACCGCAGTCCGTTCGTGACATTGCAAGCTTCTATTTTATGGCGTGAACGTGCATCATCTTTCTATTGCCGTTGTTTTCGAGGTAGAGTGTTTTGGATTTTTTTCCTTCATTTTTTTTTCATTTCTTTTGTGGTGTATAAACGTTGGAATGATGTTGACGATATTTTCCTTTTTGTGTCTCATGTTTGGACTGCATTGCGTAATGATCGATGATCGAAGAATGCGTGGTGAAACTTGTGTCGAATGCTTGTGAATGATTGCTTGGGTGCCGACATCGGGGGCAGATATGAGAACGATGGTCGCAGGGTCTGTAAAGAGTTGGCTAACGAGAAAGAACTTTGGCGACACACTTTCGAATAATAAATTTAAAAAAAAAAGTTTCATCACTCTTTTTAAACATTGACATGATTTAAAATTGAGAGTCTCGTAGCTCTTTAATTAATTATGAGTTATCATTTTCTGGAACAAAAATATTGCGTACAAAAAATGTTGTATTTGGACGTGGGCATGTACAAGCTCTACGTGTCATTTTTACAGTAAACCGCAGCCGGGAGTGACAAAAAACTTTAAAACGTTTTGCCTCTTATTTGCTGAACTCTAACAAAGTCTATAGTGTACATGCACCAATAAGTAACTCAATGCAGATGAGACGACGTTAAATTAATTTTTGACCTAAATCGAAACTTCGGAATTAATCAGTTGTGGCTGAGTCTAATTAATATATACCAATTAACCACAAAATTGGAAGGCGTTTATATATATTTTTTCGGTTCTTTCAATAATCTCTTTACAAATCGATGCTGGTGTTGCCAGAAAGTTTGTCCGAAGGGATTTGCCGTACATTGTTGTTCGATAGCTGCAGTTGTACCTCGGCACGCCAAACTACAATATCGTTTTACTTGATGATGAAGAAAATTAAGCAGCCTTTCTTCACGAATTACAGGTAAACTCAATTTAGCCTCAACACAGGACGCCCATCAATGTATTGGATTATAGTAGCATCATTATCTCAAGCTTCTGGGCCTAGCTTAGTTTACTTAGCCTTGCTTGCTAGCCGCTTCGCCGCAAAGCAGAGATCAAATGTGAACGTAAAGTGTTGTGATTTTCTCAAAAATGTGCGCAAGAAGAACGGCAGAGAACGAGGAGCAACTTTATGGAGCAAAAGAGGACAGCGACGCTGTTTTCAAGAAGTTTCGATTTGGCTCATGCAAAGCAGGTTTGGTCACGACTGGTTTCTTTCTCGATAGTCAAGTCAGCTTTTATTGTCAAATATGCTCTATGTGGAACATACAGCACAGATGAAATTACTTTTCTTTTCTCAACCACAGTGCAAACATGTAGTGCACTGAACACACACAGCTAAAATTTACGTTAAAATTCCATGAGACATAAATATATAAATATGTTAAATAAAAATAAACAAATAGCAAACAACAGACAACCAAGGGCACTTGTGATTATTGTATATTCGTAGTTACTTGTTTTAAGTGCAGATCATGGAGGGAGTTTAGTCTCCTGACCGCCTGGTGGAATAAACTGTTCTTGAGCCTGGTGGATTTAGCAGAGAGACATCGCAGCCTCCTCCCCGACGGCAGCACGTCAAAGAGACTGTGAGACGGGTGGGTGGCTTGGCGGGGCAGACGAGAGGTCTAAGTGTCCGCGAGTGGAGGGAGAGAACGTTTGGGGACACTCGCGTAGATCTGCACCTCAGTGAACAGGCACGACATTGGTGAGTAAATGAATTTTATTTTACATTTCTTCTTGTCATTTTATTTTGTTAGTATTAAATTCATGGTAACGAAATAAAATGACAAAGATACAAACTTGCTCTCCTCAGTTTGCGGAGGAGTCCACGAATTACTTTCTTGCTGTCATTATTAACCATTTTACACATTAGAAAGTTATCTTTTCTGTCAAAAGTGGTCAAGCCAGCTGCCGCGATTTTTCATACTTTCATAATTGCAAATGCTGCAAGGACCAGTTTCTAAATAAAAGCATGCGAAGATATTGATGTCCATAGAGAACTTAAAAGATTTCTGCGCCTTACGTAGATCCACACAACAGACACTGAAAGGAAAGTCTCTTGATGAAGCACACAAGCTGTCTGGCACGCAGTTTTTAGCCAGTACTGTTCGAACAAACAACATTTCGTTGACCGATAAATATCCACCTCATTGGACACGCTGACACCATTCTGCAGCAGGAAGCAAGGCTTGATTTTTCACGACTTTAGAGCCTTATTGTATACAATTTTCAGATAGATTCAAATTTGGCAGCCTTATGAACAATCGACTCTGCGTTGCAATGAATGTACTTTTTTCTCACAGACATGAAAATTGTGTAATAGAACTACCTTCCGTGGCTTCGCTGTTTCACAGATTTTTTTAGTGCAGTTTTTTTAATGCTTTTTTAAAACGGTGAATTGTGTTTTGCATCCTGATTGGCTAAGGGACTGACCAACGTGAACAGTCTCCCCACCTCGTCTCTGTACAGCTTGCCAAATTTACCTTTGCAAATTTTTGGTCTTTGGTTTCATTGTATCAGTGGCGGATGCTGGTCTGTCAAGGAAGGGAAGCTCAATTTCGGCCTACATCATAAAATGTGTCAGTTTATTTGCATGTGGAACTTTTTTTTTCAATTCCTTTTTATTTATGCATTCACAGGTCCATACAGTCAATGTGAGAACAAAGCATACTTCCTTTGTACAACTGCTCTTACACTAGAGTAGCTCCATTTAAAATAACCAGGACTGAGTAAGCAATACATAACGTGTAAGGACCAACAAGGAGTATAACTATATAACAATTTTTTTACAATAGTAAAATGAAAACAAAAAAAAAACAACAAACAAAACATCCAAACAAAAACGTAGTGGGGTAATCTGACTCATTACGCTTTCTATGATAGGAAATCTAAAATACAGAGTTAAATAAAAGTAGAAAGAATAAAGGGGGGCCACAGAAGTCGACTCTAAACAAATGATGGTCGTACTGGCGTGATATACTTCATCCATCTTTCCCATCTATTCAAAAAAGTTTCCTGTTTCAATCTCAAAGTAAAGGTAATCCTCTCCATTTTAAACATCATAGATTATGTCGATCCATTCTTCATCAGTAGGTGTTTCGGCTTTTAACCACTTTCTTGTGATGGCTTTTCTGCTAGCGACAGTTAGGATCTGAAATAAATATTTAACATTATTAGAAACGTTTTCTGATTCAATGGCCCCTAAGTATAACGACTCAAAATTTAAATTGGATGTCTCTCTGAAAAACACTCTGTAGAACCTAATGTACCTCCCGCCAAAACAGCACCAATCATGTACAGCACCAAAATATATGAAAATGGTTTGCTTCAAGGCCCCCACAGTGCCGCCAGCATGCAGAAGAATTAGTGTAGTGCCTCTTTTGAGCTAGGGTGACAAAAAATCTTAGTAGCGTTTTCCAGCAAAACTCTCGCCAAACACGTGAGCTTTGAAGTTTTCCATTGTATCTCACAGAGATTTTCCCAAACTTCTTCCTTTAAGACCATATTACCTTCCCGCTCCCATTTTTGTTATATGTGCAGTGAACTTTGCTTTATTTGTTGTAGCCCCTTGAAATTTTTGAGATGAGTTTGTGGTTAGAGCCGTTACTATTAGCATCCATAATTATTTGTATGTGAATTCTACTGTCCGTTCCTTTTCAAAAAAATGAAAAGGATGCCTTCACCATAAGATCGGTGATTGGCTCATTTCGCTGTCTATCAAAAAGAGATTCAGCCTCAGACAGATCATCCAATCATCATGCAGAAAAGCTGAGAGTCCGGGCCAGACGATACATGAGCGTCCAATGGGCGGGACAAAACCAGCATTTATCCAATGACTCGTCTCGTTTCAATGCATTGGGACAACCTACACTGAACTCTCTAGACCAGTGTTTTTCAACCCGTGTGCCGTGAGACATTGTCAGGTGTGCCGTGGGAAAATATCCAATTTGGATGCCTGTGCGGTCTTTCGCCCAGAAAGTAATCATGTAGTACCCTCCCATACCGCTAGGGAGCAGCAACAGCTAGCCAATTGTCTTGTGTTTCGACGAGAGACAAGCGAATTTGTGACGCATGAATGCAGGACGACGGTGAGACAATAAATATGAAAGATGATAAAATACTGTTGTGTTCATTTGATTCCAATTCAAGCTGTTATAACGTCATTCTTCAGTGTTAAAAACGGTTATAGGAACAATGTAATACGTTTCTTGTTAAAATAAGCGGGGTGGATGGGGGGTGTCACATTTTCAGCTAGTGGCTCAAAAAAGTTTGAAAAACACTGCTCTAGACGCCCAGCGTCCGCGCAGTCGACGCTCAGCGTCCACACAGTAAGAAACACAGTGAAGCTGCAGGAATGAATGAGAAGAGAGTCACGTTGTAACCAGTAATAAGAAGCTGATTCGGAACAAAAGTTGAGCGCGTTGTAGTGCATATTTAGTCAATGGCATGTCCACACAATTGTACGTACAGACATATATTTGATCACTTACTTTTTGACATTTTAGGGGAAGCTGAGCTTCCCTTGCAGTCTTAGAGCAATCGCCTCTGCATTGTATACATAGTTCAGTGTTGTATAATAACTGCAA